AGGTCTGTTCTTAAAAAGGCAAACTGAGCAAGTCTGGCCCAGTCTGCTTGTCACCACCTTTGTGTCCCTTGGTGCTGGGCACACTGCTGCTATGTCAGGTGCTCATAGTTTTTATTGGATTGTTGGTAACCTTTAGTTTGCAGCAAAACACTAACCAAACAGCGTATAGGCAGAGAGTTCATGAAATAAGCAATATGAAGAATAGCAAGTGCTAGAGACAGAGAAAGAGAGGATGGTGAAGGGTGAGGCTCGAAACTTGTGAAGACTGACGCTGGGTTGCATTAGTCACAGAAAAGGGCAAGTGCTGATTCTAGATGTTAATAGCAGATGGAGAAAGAAGACAAAGTAAACCATCTGAAGAAGGCAAGACTGAGGACAGAGGGTCCCAGAACCTGGATGTCTCGGGAAAGAAACAATTCAGAGTCACACGGCCCCAGACATCAGCCCCGGAAACATGGGTTTATATACATCAAATTCCTCAGGAGAAACAGAATTTAAAACTCAGTTCCTCAGTGGCACACATCACAGGAATCTCATTTATTTATTGAAGACAGAGTGTACGGAACATTTTTCATGTGCAACAAGTTCTGCAAGAAAGTGCTGTTCTGGAGACATCACTTCATCCCTTAGGTCTGCAGGGTCTCTGGGCCCTAATTTGAAACATGAAAGTGAGCCTGAGGCTTCTGTCACCTCTTGTTCAAGAAAGTCGGGGACCAGACGGGTCAATGAGTGCTTTCACTGGGGATCTACCCACCTCTCTGGACTATTCTCGGGCTGGGAGAAAGCTGATAAGGGAGGTTGCCAAGTCTCTGACCACAGAGGAAGGCCAGGGTTGCGTCCTCCCTCCCTTTGGGAGGGACTAAGGGGCAGTGAGTACTGGCTACTCCCAGAGCAGGCAGCAGTGAAGGGGGGTGAGGTAAATCTCAGAAAGGGCAGCTCCTGCTTTTTCACCCCCACGACCATAAGGGGTTGGGGGTGGTTAGGAATCTTTCCCTGGATTAACTTCCATCTTCTTGGCAGCCTGCCCTCTGCTGAGGAGGAGAAGCTGTTGGACCCTTGTCCTGCTGAGTCATGGTCAACAAACAGGGAATCCTAGGCAACTAGGTGACATCACCTCCCAGCCTGGCACTCAAGCTGCCGCTGACTCTGGGACATCTGTGACGGGCTCTGCTTTTGGAACCAGACTCTTGTCCCTCTCTATGACGATGTCTGAGCGAGCCACTGAAATGGGTTGATGCCTTGGGACCACCCAGCATCACCCTGTTGGCCACTAAAGACTTGCTGGGTGACCCCTCTCTCCTGCCATTCTCCCTTAAGTCAACTAAGTTCTCTTTGGACATTTTGTTGGGGTTGTATGAAATTATGGATCAGTTTGGGGAGAAGTGACATCTTTGTAATATTGAGATTTCCAATTCATGAACACGATATATTGCTCCATTTACTAAGTTTTCCTGAATTCCTTTCTATAAAATTTTATACTTCTCTCTGTAGAGATCTTTCATGGTTTCTTTAGACTTACTAAGGCCCTTAGGATATTTTTCAGGGTTTATTATAAAGAGTATCTTACAACAATTTTTGGTTTTGCCTGATCAATTTCAGTTTGTGATGGGGAACAACTATTTAGGAACCTTCTAACCAAAATATTTTCATGCTGACAACCTTGGTCCTGCATCACCATGTAGGACCCAGTTGCCACCTGGTTATCTCTAGGCTGTTCACCTGCTTCTAGGGAGGACAGTCGCTCTGGCCAGGGACTAGTTATTCAGGTCAACACTGCTATCATCTACCCAACACTTCAGACCACCACAGATCTCTGAGGTTTGGGTGGAAGACTGCATAGTTCTACAGTGACGTACACTTCCCCCTGATTTGCATGTGTGGGAACTTGGATTTAAGGAGTGGGGCAGTTGGAGACAGAACAGAGATTTACTTGAGTAAATTCACTTTGCACGGAGTAGCAAGGAGAGATGATAGAAACGAAGAACTCAGGGACCTCATGAAGACAAAAAAGCAAGCTGATCACAGAGCCACGACAGAAAAGTTGAGCAGAGGTAGCTTACGATAACTTTCTGTGGCTATGCCTGAGAGGTAGGCTTTCTATGAAAACCTTGCTGCCTACCTGCCCCTCTCAGCTAATACAAATGCAAACATTATACCAGATAGGTATGCTGGCGAACCAAAGGTGTTAGCAGAATTTTGGGGCCCTGTTAGAAGCTACTGGTTCCTGGCCTACATCCAGCCAGTTAGTTCTGTTTTAGTTTTTGTTTTTAAAAATGATTTTTTTATGCATACAAAACCTGGGGTGTAGGCCAGAGGTATGGGGATGAGAGGATTCACCAGAGACAGACTAGGGAGTAGAACAGGCGGATCTATGGAAATCCACTGCTGAGGGGAGTAGTGGGCGGGTCAGGAGAGGTCTGCTGCGCCATGTGGGTCAGCACCTTGGCTGGGTATGGAACTCATGCTGTGGTGGCTGTAGATAGTTTTGCAATGCTGCTCTTTAACCCCTTGCACCACCAGCAAGCCCCCAAAATCTTTTAGGGATGCTATTCCTTGAATCTATTCCTTAAAGGAGTACAGAGCTTGAAGGAAGTCCTGGGAATCCTATTCTCCTCAATTTTCCTCCCAACTAGTCAGCTTCTTTGGCCTGCCAGACGTGCTGACCATGACCCCTTCCTGCCAAAAACCCCAAAAAAAGGAAGTAAAAAAAAAAAAAATCCATTTTCCTTTCTCCTCACACCACTGATTGGCCCTGGCATGTGTGAAATGCATAGGCATGAGTGAAAGATGACACGGCTGTCATCTTTCTTTGGGAAATGGCTCTCTTAGTTTACCCAGTTTTCTCACTATAGAAAACTAGGGCACTTCCTGTTCCAGACCCTCCCTGCTAGTTACTTCCAGGGAAACTGGCTGGCTCCTTGATCTGTAGGAATCAGGACCAGAGGGTCTTTCCAGCTGAGGCCCATGCCTGTGTCAGTTTCCTCTGCTTCTGGGGGTACATCCCTTGAGCTCGTGAGGTGTGATTCACCAAGTCCACTGTAGGGCTCTGTGGACTGCATCAGATATCATCAGAAACACGTCTGAGTCAACTGTGGGATGACTCAAAGATCTGTAATATTTAAACCATATGTCTCACAAAGCAAGGTGGAAATGCAGCCAGTTTCCCTACCAGAGGTTGTCATCTGAGACTGAAGCTAAAACTGGCAAGGGCTCTGCATTCTCAGACTCACCAGGTCGTGCTGCTGTGGGCTGTGAGCTTGTCAGCAGCTCTGCGCCACCTGGCCTGGAATGGGCCATACATGGATGGAAGGAGGGCAGGCCAGGCAGCCGGGGACATTCAACAGCCCTTTCTAGACCAGGAAAAAACTCACGACCCTTAATGGCACTGGGAAGGGAAAGCAAAAAGGGTATATTTGCTGCCTCAGAGGAGGGAGGAAAATATTATTACACTAGATAACTTTATTAGGAGTCTTATTCTCTGAGAATTCACCAAGACCCTTAGGCTTCCTTTGAGTAACAGGAAGAAATGACCACTGACTTATCTTTGAAATCCCTCAAAGGCTGTTTCCCTCTTTCTAAAAAGCACCCAGCAGGTCATCTGATGTGGAAAGACGACTGCTCACAGCTCACACAGTGATGATCAAGTCAGAGGTGCCAGAATCTAGTCCCAGTGCTGCCACTTAGTTGTGGGATAAGTAATATTATACTTAGTTGTTTTGAGCTTCAGTTCCCTCTTCCCTAAAAGGGAGAAGTCTACTTATCTGACAGGGGTGTTTTGAGGAGTCCATGCAATGGGGTCTATGTAACACATGGCAGGCGATTAAGAAATGTTAGTTGAGTATTAATTCAAAGAAGATGATGGATAGGTTGTCAGTAAACACGGACCCAACAGCCAAGGAGTTCCCTCCTGCTTTAATTAACTTCAGATCCAGTGCAATTTGGAATCAAGACAGAATATATCACCAAGGGCTTTTTCCCTTTTTGCTTTCTGGTGATCTGTGTTACAGCTGCCAAAATGGGTAAAGGAGTGAGGGAGAAGAGAGAGAAGGTTTGGAAAGCTGCAGGGGCTTTCTCAAGCCTGTAGCTGTACGAGTCTCTTAGATCCAGCTCTTCCTGCTGTTCAACCAGAGGGTTGTGGTCACCAGGGAAGACACTAGCTGTGAGTCAACCCTCCCTCTGACTTGCCCGGCTTTGTGACTCTCAGCCAGTGGATGCTGGTGCTGGTATTTTAACCACCTTCAGAAGCCTAAGATGGAAGGTCATGCTCAAGTCAGCTCACGCTTCCATTATCAGGATAATGGGATGTGTAGGCCAGGGAGGGCACAGATCACCCAAGGGGACATGAAATTCCACCTTCCTATGCTGCCTCACTCAGCCCATGGTTCTAATCTTCTCTCCCAACCTTGTTTTCTAGAAACTTGTTAGAAGTAGCAAAGCATAAACATTTGAGAATAGCTTCCCTTTCTGTACTGGAAGGTGGAAGGAAGCTATGAGAGTCTCTGAGGGTGGGGGTTCTCATGAGCTGGACACTGAGCCCCCAGCAAATGCAGCTCTGGCTGAGCTTTTCACAATGAGGCTGGTCCGTGCAGCTAGTGAAGTGGGAGGAGGGTGGAACACAGGCCCGAGAGGATCTGATGGGGCTGGGCTTGGAGAGGTTTGGTTTGCTGTTCAGCAGGCGTAGTTTTTTCCCCCTCCTAGAAAAACTGACTGATGGCACCAGAGAAAAGGTGGGAAGTAGCAAGAGAAGGACCATCACCTGGTTCCCCTTGAAGGAGAGGGTCGGCTTGGAAGAACCTGTTTGTGGTACATCCCAGCCGTAGTCTAGACCATAAGCTGAGATTCTGTTTCAAGAGTGGGCCTGCGTTAGCTCAGGGAACATGTGTCTTGGCAGGAGGGATGGTCCCCCACAGATGACTTCTGCCCCTCACTCTCCTAGGCTCTCCCTTCCCTTCTCCATCCCACAGACACCTGTGGACCATAGGTTTCATTCAGAGGCCTACCTTGGGCTTGAAGGCAATGAGCTTCAGAATCATCTCCACGGTGAAGAGGCCAGTGAAGAGCATGTTGAGGATGTTCATGGCGATTTTGAACAGGCAGCTTTGACCGTAGTGCTAAGGGGGGGGGAGATGCCATGAAAATGAGCCAGGGGTGTCCCAACTCTTCCCCGTCCTCACTTCCCTCAGCCAAGCGCTGGAAGGTCATCTATGTCTCTCAGGGCAGTTGGGTAGACTCAGAAAGTCCTACAAGTTCTTTCCTTGTCTGCCATCTCTGAAAACAGAGGTTGGCAGAGTTCTGTGTTCCTTCTCTGACTGATGATGACCGCGTTATGGAAACTCTGGCACTGGAGAGAGCAGCGGCCAGCTGATCTCCCTGAAGACAGGTGGCTGCACAACCCACCTCCGTGCCTGCGCCTCACTGACAATAACCGACACTTCCACCGCCCCCACCCTTTGCCACATCCCTCCACTCTCTCCATTTCATCACCCAGCGTCCAGTGGGCTCCTTCCTCAAGGCCCAGGCACGAGCCTCTGACTTTCTCCAGTTGGGGGCAGAGGAAGGCTCTTCTGTCCTTTCTCCCTCCCTGGGCCGACACGAAGGTGATCACTGGAGATGACCGTGTAGCTCTCCCACCCCTTTCTACCTCCTATAGCTTCTCCCCCCACAGGCACCAGGGGACCAGCCCCCCGGGACTGACCTGCATGGCCAAGCAGATGGTGTTGAGCAGGATGAGGACAAACATCAGGTACTCAAAGTAGGTGGAGTTGACCACGTACCACACTTTGTACTGGTGCTGGTTCTTGGGGATGTACCTCCGCAGGGGCCGCGCCTTCAGGGCGTATTCCACGCACTGTCGCTGAGAGGGGTTGGGGTGGGGGTGAGGAGAGGTGGGGGCCAGTTACCGACGTGCCGAGTGGGGACATGGCAGAGAGGGTGGGAAGTAAATGAAACTACAGACTCTGGGGGAGACCTTGAGGAGTCAGAAAAACAATCTACTGCTCTAGTTTCTTTACAACATGAGATACAATATACACACTAAGCATTTTTTTTCTCCTTCCCTTAATGAAGACCCTTGTCTAGGCTATAGTTGACGGGCCCAAGTCTCCTTTATTTCCAGCTCAGCAACGCCGGGGTACCGCCTGGCACTTGACAAGTATGTCTGTTTTCTTCCAGTCTCTCCTCGGGCCCTTCTCTCCTCAGCCCTCCTTTCCTGCCCTCAATCAATCTTCCTCATGTGCCAGCGTCGCAGAGGTCAGAAGGCATAGCTCACGGCCAAGGACTGAGAGCTCGGGCTAGCTAGATTCTTGGTTCTGGAGTCCGGCCCACTGGCACTGAGACCATACTCCCAAGTGAGGCACTAGCCCCTCCCCCAGCCCTCAGCCTCCAAACCCTGTCTCTAGACCTGATCGGTTCTATTTTCTACTGCCATTAACCCGACAGTAGCCCAGGGTCTAGTCACCACTCATCTAGACGGACTAATTGGCAACATTTATTCCTTCTTTTCTCATTCAAAGTCAATTCAGCAGCCAGAATGCTGCGTTTAAACCCAAGGTGTTGACCTCCAAATCTGTGAGGGGGTCAGCTGGCTTAGCTGGGGAGAGCTGAGCAAGGGAGACATGCTTCTCTCTACAAGCGGGGATATCTTCCCAGAGACTCTTCCCATGGAGTAATCTATAGAGAACTGACCTCTGTGGCTGACCATCCACCCCACGCTCACAGTTTTACTCCTCACTGTATGAGCTGCCAGCTCTTTGTCGTGGCGAGCAGACTATGTTCTGGCCCTGGGCATTTCTATGTCGTCCTTATTTCAGCCTCTTTCCTGCCCCCACCTCATGAACAGACCTTCGTTGTCCTCGTGTCCTTCCTTGCCAGTGGTGCCAGCACATCTGGGCACATTTTAACCGTGTCAGCTTCTAGATATGGCATGAGACTTCCCCCCCACCCCCGGCTCCCTACACTGAGTCTGCCATGGAGTCTCCTTAAACAGATGCTTAAAAACAGACTAGTTGACAGAATACATTCGCCAGTTGCGGGATTTGCGGAGATTTGCATTTTTTTTTTTTTTGCCCCAGCCTCTCCAGAGGAATGAAATCCTATTCTTGTGGAGCAGGTGGGTGATCTTGGGTCTGCATGGGTGTTGCCCCACGACAGCCTCTCCTCCTGGTGGGCCAGATGCTCTGGCTGCTGCCACTCTTCCTGTGCCCTTCCCCCACCCCCTGCCTTGCTTCTCTCCTTCCTAGGAAGGTACCTGGTTCTTGTCCAGCTCACAGTTCTTGTATTCCTGCTCTCCCTGTTCCTGGAAGGTGACGATGACGAAACCCACGAAGATGTTCATCATGAAGAAGGCGATGATGATGATGTAAATGATGAAGAAGATGGAGATCTCCACACGGTAGTTGTAGATGGGGCCCTTGTCCTCTGTGTGGGAGTCGATGGAGCGGTACAGCAGCCTGGAGGGGAGACAGGCCCCATGGGGGAGCTGGAGGAGCAGTGTCCCTGCAGGAGAACGGCACTGCTGCTCCCAGGGATTCTGCTCAGGGTTCTGGATGGGGGGGGGGCTAGAAACAGCTCTGTGCTGGGAGTCGGAAGATCTGAGTTCAGGTTCAGCCCTGCCACTTACTGGTCATGTGACCTTGGCCAATCACTTAACCTCTTTTGAGCATCAGACTCTTCATCTGTAAAATGGAGACAATAACGCCAAGCTTCCCTTGCTATAATGTATATAAAGGTGTTTTGAACTGCCAAGAGCTATTTATATATAACATAAGTTGTGGAATTGGTAATATTGAGACAGCTTTGCCAAATGGCATACATGGGAGACTGTTAGACTGAACATGAAACATGTCCACCTGAGAGCAAATACCCACTGAGCTAAAATGGATAAAATGACCCATGCTTATCTGGATCACCAGCACTGGTTTGGATATGAACTTGAGGACCTTGCACACACAGGACGTTTATTTGGGCCTCGGCTCTGTCCCCACCAACCTGTGTCTCTTCATGGACCGGGACTTTCTCCTCTCCTTCCTTCCTACATCATCTAGTATTTAGTCTCTGGGTATCAGCCCTTTTTTTACCATAGGATAAGACGCCACTCATCATCTGCTATTGTTGACTTAGAAATTTTCTGACTCTCAGATGTTAACTTCCCTGGCATGTATGCTGGGAAGCAGAATCTAAACAAAGGGGCACAGAGCACCTGATGGACAAGCTGTCTGGTAGAGGTGAGGCAGTGTGAAGTCAACCGGGCTGGGCTGGACAGAAAAGCACGACCTCTGCAGAGGCATTTGGGCCCAGCTTCATCTTTCCTTACTTTCTACTATAAATATAGGTACAACTTCCTCTGAGGAGACTGGGGTACAGTCTATAAAATGGGGCATCTCAGCCTTCTTTCCCCTCGCCGAGTGCATGCTGGGAGTGGTAGTCTTAAATCCCACAGTGACCCAAGGGTCCACACCTGACCTGGAGAACTATCCCCACACCCCTGATCCCAGATTAATGAGCATAGTGAGAGAGAGAGAGAGAGAGAGAGAGAGAGAGAGAGAGAGAGAGAGAGAGAGAGAGAGAGAGAAAGAGCTCTCATTGTCATTGTTGGCTCACTCTAAGGTTGGGGTGGGGTGCTAACAGAATCTCATTTTTGGTTGTAGTTTCTGAAATATTGTCATTTTCTACAGAAAGCAAAGTTGACATTTCAACAGACTATACCTTACATATTGTTCTAGACACACACTCTCATTCCCATTACCCGGATAAGTATGACTCCTGGGAGGGAGAGTAGAACATTCATCAAGCTTGGGGGAGGGCAGCCGGCCCATACCTGGCCTCTAATATCAGGCAGGCCTGGCTTGCATACTCACTCTGGCCACCCCTCAAAGGTGGAGACGGTGAAGAGGGCCATCATGGCCGCCAGAACATTGTCAAAGTCAAACTTGCTGTTCTCCCAGCTGCGGGGCTGGATGATGGGGTGGTCCACCTCTCCATCCTTGTATGTGATGTAGTTACCCCTGAGAAAGGAGGGCAGAGAATTCATTCTGGTATCTCCCATCTCCGGTCATACCTGACCCACTGATAACTCCTGGCGTTTGGGAGGGAGGGGCTGATAGGCTCACACCCCAGCCTAGTAGCCATTGGGAAGGACTTCAGTGGGTAGAAGCTTCAGGAATAGATGTTACATGTCATGTCAATGGGACCAGCTTTCCAATGGGCAGAAGTTCTGCTGCCACTGGTGACCAAGAGAGTGGACTGTCCCACCTCTCGCCCCAAGTTGCCGACCTCCCAGAGTTGACCATCTTGGCACCGTCTACACACCAGTCTGCACTTACTTGCATTCCGCCTCGGTCTGTTTGGAGCTATCTGAACAGGTGTAGAGCTTTCCCTGGAAGGCAGAAGAGCAAAGCAATTGGAGAGGTTCATCAATTAGTTCAAAAATGCCTAGTGGTCATCTCTGAAGCTCAACACTGTTTGGGGACCAGAGACAAAAAGATGTAAGGAGAGCAGAATTCAGATGGGACGGTGAGGTTCACGTACAGGAAGCAATCAGTGAATAAGGCTGCTCAGCCGCAAGTACCCTCAGAATTCTGAAAGAACCCTGCAGTCCAGGAAAGCCGGACTAAGCGCACCTGGGTTTGGAAGGGGAGTCAGATGGAAAGAAATCAGCGAGAGTTTATGGGGGTGGGTGGGAGAGGGCAAGGTTGCTTCAGGTGGAACAAGAACAGAATAAAAGAGTTCAGGCAGAAGAGAGACACGTCTGGGAGGACTCTGGCCTCGCTGGGCTAACGGGCCTTGTCGGGAAGCAGCGAGGGGAGTCTGGACAGACGCAGACTGAGAGCCAGGAGGAGAGGGGCCTGGCGCTGCTGGTAATGGGCAGCTACCACGGGTCTCTAGCAGGTGACGGACACGAGGCTTGTGCAGATGAACCCCCTGTCTTTCTTGCTAGGAGGGGCGGGGGCCTGCAGGGCTGGTGATGCCAGGGGGGCGCGGAGACTCTGCCCGCAGGAGCAATGCTGCCTTCCAGGCTAGCGCAGCTTTTGGTCTGGGCTACTGAGAGGAAGCCACAGCATCCCAATCTGACCCCAGGGTTAGTCTGACCCTGACCCTAACCGTCACCCTAACCCTAACCCTGTCCTCTCGGTGTGTTGAATCTGCCTGCTCCCTTCCCTGGGAAAGCTGGAGGGAAGGAAGCAGGACCCCCTGTCAGAATCAAGACTTTACCTTGAAGAGCTGGACCCCGATGCAGGCGAACATGAACTGAAGCAACGTGGTGACGATCACGATGTTCCCGATGGTCCGGATGGCCACGAACACACACTGAACCACGTGCTGCAGTGGGCGGGACACAGCTTCAGGACGCCTGCAGCCTGGGCTCCCTCACACAACCACCGGCCCCCCGGGGGTGCAGCACGGGCAGCCCCTTCCGACGCACATCGAGCAAATCAGCCTCAAGAGGCAAAGCTCCGCCCCAGGGTCACAGTGTGATGGGAGCCAGTATAACTGAGCCCCCCACTGGGCCCCAAGCGACAGAAGGGGCAAAAGCCCTGTTATGCCCCATCACTTAGGGAGGAGCCGAGGGGCCTCATTTCCAGGTGGCGGCACTGGGCTCATGGCTGGGTCTCCTTTTGCAAAACATTTTGCTTAGGCACTGAAGTTTGGACTGAGGCCTCGGCCATCGCTCTGTTCATCATGGCACAAATACAGGAAGGGGACTGGGGTGCAGGCAGGGGAGCCCAGGCTCCAGCGGGGCTCCACCCTCTCTTCCTCCCTCCACTTAGCTTCTACCACCCTCAGCCAGGTCGAGCCCTGCCAGGCCGCCGGCTCCTGAGCAGGTCAGCGGCTCACCTTTAGGCCCTTGGCCCTGTTGATGGCCCGCAGGGGCCGGAGAACCCGCAGAACGCGCAAGATCTTTACAACGTTGATCGCACTGGACCTGGCAGGAGAAACAGAGGAGGGACTGAGCCCTGTTTTTGCAGGAGCAGGTATTAAGCTGGGCGGTACATCCAAAGGGCTAATCCCAGGTGCGCTTGAGAAGATGCCAAGTCTGTCTGGGGATGTCCTTGTCCTAGGACCACGCTCTCTGTCCATCTCCCACCCTGGCATGTGCCTGTCACCCTGGAAGCAAAAGTGAACTCAAGCCCCAGTCTGCACCGGCCAGTCGAGCCCCCAGGACACACTCCTCACTGTTCCCAGTGCTTTGTCTGATAAAGCGGAGAGCGCTCACCTCGCAGAGCGAGGATGAAATGAAGGAATGTCTCTGAATCGCTAGCTGTGGCTTGCCACCCAGTGTGAGTGGAGAAAATGGTAGCTCTTACTGAGGGGCTATGAAGACATCACTGAGCTCTGAGCAGCACTATAAAAATGGTGGCGTGGCAGACCTTTGCCTGGAGTGGTGTGTGTGGAGACATTTTGGGGTCATCTCCAAACATAAGCCCCGGTAGCTGCTCATCACACTATGTCTCCCCAAGAGGGCCAGGCCAGACAGGCTTTTCTCGAAACAGGCCTGCTCTGAGCAGGCCTCCTTGAGTGTCGCTTGATTTGGGGAAGCAGAGTGAGTCTGTGAGCCTGAGGAGGTCTGTTGCCATGAATTACAGAATGTTCTGGAAGCAGTGAAGACCTTAGGGGCAAGGGAAATGTCGCACCTTTCTCAGTCACTTGCCCTTTTCCTAATCAAAGAAGCAATCTCTGCTCTCCCATTTAATGGCCTACAAGAAAGAGCTGGGGTTTTCATCCAGATGTATATTTATCTGTATCTATAGATATGTTTTCTCCATCTGAGAAGCTCATTGTAACTCTCACCCTTTCCTTGTCTATCACGTAAAGTTTCCCACTCTCTGCCTCAAGTCCTTAAATGCAGGGTACATATCCTGGTTCACCTCTTTATTCTTTAGAACTTACAACTCCCTAAATTCCCCATATGTATGTTATTACATTTGGATTTTTTCTGCTCCTACTCTGAGGTTGTTCATCTGTCCGAAGAACCCATATCAGGCAGAATCACCGGCCTCTGAAGCCTAACACACCTGTACGTAACCCCCCCGGCTCACAGAAAGTGTAAGAATGGATCCCATGCGAGCTTTCTGTGGCTCCTGACCTTCTTGGAGCCCCAGCTCACTGCTGTTCGCTAGTTGGAAGAAGGCACTAGGAAGGTTCTGGAATTACCCATCTACCCAGGTGGGGCTTCAACACTTCAGTCTAGTGCGCAACTCTGAAGTCGCACCTGACTCAAGCTTCTGCAGAGTCGTGTACCTGCCTTGAGATCTAGAATAGCACAACACACAGTAAGCCCTGAGTCCATTCTCCTGTGGTCAGGCTGATGTGCTCAGGAGGGAGCCAGTAGAAAGAGCTCATTTCTCTGGTTCCTGGTTCTTTTATGCCAAAGGATTCAAAGGGCACAGGGAGGAAGTCAGTTTGTACTGAATCACAGGAGAAAGGGATTTATAGGTCAGATGGGGAAAACACAGACAAAGGTGGGAGTGGGGGAGTGCTGTTTCTTGGTTCAAGGTTAAATAGTGACTTAGTGGTAGTGCTGGAATTCAAATCTAGCCTGCGGGCCCCAGCATGATAAATGACCACCAAAAAGGGTCTCACTTTTAAAGCCCCCATGTCCATTCTTTCTAAGCTGACTGCGACAACACCCTTTAGGTGTTTTCTTAACAAGAAAATAGTGATAGCACCACTCACCCTGCCTACCTCATAGGGTTTTTATGAGGATTTAGAAGGATATGTATCTGAAAGTAATTTGAAAGTTTAAGTGCAGGATTAACATCATTAGCTTTAGAACCCAGAGAAACTGGCAATCCAGTTCTTTAAAACCTCAGCAAGTACAACCTTGATTGCTCACCTTGGATCACCTGGAGAGCTTAATGACTCCAGACCCTGGGTTTTACCTGACCAAGTGAATTAATAAGTTCTGGGGTAGGGATCCAGGCAGATGTCTTCCTTAAATCGACCTAAGGGATTCCACTGGGCAGTCAAGATTGAGGATCAGTCATTTCTCGCTCTCTCTGCTGGTCACGGAAATCTCAGGCACCGGACAGTCAAGGGCAGCCGAGGTCATTGGACACACAGCCGGGCAGCAGGAAGGCCCTGCAGACATCCCTCTCATTTATAACTGGGCCTAGCCCTGCCCATCATGGCAAGATCAGGTATTGAGACATTCTCGCTATCCCAAATCATCCCAGGTATCATGCCACTGGAGACACGAACACAAGAAACCAAAGCCACCATGCTGCCCATCAGAGGATGCACCCAGTCACAGTGTCACCGATGGCCCTGCAGGAAGGCCGTCCAGAGTCCTGCTTGTCCTCCCTGACAGTCATTCTAGTTGCATGCCCTATCTGGGCTGAGGGTGCCCTACTCACTGGATGCCAAAGGAGATGAGAGACACGCTGACCACCAGCAGGTCCAAGATGTTGAAGTAGTTTCGGCAAAAAGAGCCCTTATGTAGGAAGGCCCCATATGCGGTCATCTGCAGGGAGGCACAGAGAAACAGGTGAGTGGCCCCTGCCCAAGTTCCAGAAACCCCCTTCACATCTCCTTTCCTCCCCCCACATCCCTTAGGCAGGACCCTGTTGAGTAACACTGGACGGGCAGGGCTGAAGGAGAACATTGCCGAGAAGAGGGTTCAGCAAACATTTATACAACCGCCCACCAGCTCAGGGCGTGTAAGTGACACCTTACGACTACCAGAGCAGGGCGGTCTCTTCAATTCCACAACTGAAGCCCTTTCAGATCGGGCGCCCACTGGCACTCATTTCTACTACTTCTCATTGTGTGTCTGGTTCCAGCACCGAGGGGTCGTTTGCTGATGTTGCTCAGACTAGGTTTCCCTTAGAGGGAAATTTCCAACTTTCTCTCCAAATTCTGTCTACCCTCAGTGCCAGCCTAGGCATCTGGGGAAGAGAGGGCGTGCACAGTAGGGAGACCAATCGCCCCCGGTTTCCCAGGACACACCAAATTTTGTACTGAAAAGCCTGAATCCTGGGAACCCCTCAGTCTTGGGAAAACTGGGATAACTGGTCACTCTGATGACAGGTGGTAAGTTACACCAATCACTATGGCCAACAGCACCCCTCCACTTCATGAGCCTCAAATAACACTCATGAGCTGTAGAAGACATTCTAAACTCAGTTCTACTGTCTTGCTGCTAGACTGCATGAACGCTTAGGCCGAATCCCTGGTTCAGAGGGGAGATACAGCATGATGGTTAAGAGAACAGGCTTTGGAACAGATTGTGTCTAAATGTCAACCCTATGGCACTTTATTTGTGTGGCATGGGGAAAGTCACTTAACTTTTCTGTTTCAGTTTCCTCATCTGAGAAATGGGGATGATGACAACATCTACCCTATAGGCTGGGAGCATCAGTTGAGTCATTACCTGGGGAACACTTAGAACACTAACCTACAGGGGCCAGCTGCGTAGACATACGAGCTATCACTGTAGTCAACTACACTTGGGCCAGGCAAATTAATTTGGATTCTGGATTCTTCCTGAACGAGGGAGATTCAGTTCTTTATCTATAAAGGGGGCACAGATTTTCTACATACACAGACAAACAAGTACAAGTACTCTGAGAATTAAAAAGTGGACTAAGGGACAAAGTTTGTTACGGGACTTGGCTATTATTCCCTTCCTCTGAGCTTGGTAGAAAGTCACTGTAGATGGTCACAAATAGCCTTTTCAGTTTTGTTGACCTGAATGAAGGGCCAGTAGCTTTCCAGGGTGAGGGCTGTGGAGGCCATCAGGGGCCTCAGCCAAAGCGAGGCATTGGGAGCTCAGGGCTGGGAGACTGAGGGCAGTTCCAGGTCCCCTGGGGGCCAGAATCAGAGGATGCCCGGAGCAGCTTGTCCTCAGGGCAATTCAAACACAGACACAGGGGAAACTGGCAAAAATAGCTCTTGCAACCTAATTCTTTCTCTTTATCTCTTGCAGCAGGGATCACAGGGGACTGAGGCACCCATGTCTGCAGCAGTTTCTAGAAGAGGGTGGATTATATAAAAGGCTGCAGGGGAATTAGTGGGCGCTTCCCTGAAGGCCCACCTTCTGGGGGGGGTGGGGCTTGCTGTCCTGTCTTAGATGTGAGACCCCAGAGACAGGACCTGGGCACTTTTGCAACTCATGTTACCCAAGAAGCCTCTGTGCCTGTGGAAGGTGAGCATCCCTGGCCAGCTCACTTTGCGTCTTAGAGGGATGCAGGTTGGACCCCTCCTCGTCCCGGATTTAGATATTATGAGGGCATTACTGAGCTCCAAGAAAGTCCCTGCACTGGGGGCGGGCGTGAAGGGGGAACATTCCTTGAATGGATGGACTAGCGTGCTCAGGCTGCCAACTCTGTTCTTTGGCTCTATGTTCTCAGGGAATCCTAGAAAGGCCACGTCTTCTGAGTGTGTGCATGAGTGCATGTGCGTGCGTGTGTGTGCCCACGTAGGAGCCAGGAACACAGGCCCAGGCAGAACCAGAGGAAGAATGGTCATAGAAAAAATGGCAAATGACACTGGAAAAAATGAAGCATTAATTTGAAAATTGCTTCTGGCATTCAGAGCCTTAGAAAAAGCCAGGTTCATGTCTGCAAGGCAGTGCCCTTCCATGACACCATCGTGCTGAATGCCACCTGCCCAGACCCTGCTTCTGAAAGGCCCTGTGCCACCTCTCAGGTCAAGTCCACTGCCGGTGTGTGTCCAGGCCCAGGAGAGCAAGGGGCCGGGGCGGGCAGAGGCTGCGTCTGAGCTGGAAGGGCTGGAAGGCCCTTCTGCCCGGCTCTAGCGGCGGCCTCCTCTTGGCCGCTTATGCACAGATTACATGTCTTATTTTAGGTAATTCTCACTCGCTGGACCTGGGTCCACCTTTGCTGGGCTCCCACACTCTCTCCTTTTCTAGGCCAAGCAGCCTCAGGTCTTTAACTGTTTCCGGTACAGAATAGCCCTGTTGGGTGTAGTCACTTGCAGGGTGGCAGGTGCCAGACCAGGCTGAAGGACCTGGTGGGCAGGTGTGGGGAGGTAAGCTGGATGGGGGTTTGTATTTGGACCCACTGAGTTTAGAAGAGAGGGGAAGGGCGAGAGGGTGGCGGGGGAGGAGAGGACCTTGCCATGACAATGCTTGTACAGGGGACTCACACTTCTGCTTGTATGGCAACCTTGAAGGCAAAGTAGCACCATTGAAATCCACAAGGGAAGCTCTGCAGAGGATACTGTGAGTTGGGCCCCAGAGCTTTCCTTGTTCCAGGAGAGAATTGTTAGTGTTTGTGCGCTTCCCTGAGTTTGAGATCCAGGAAAATATCAGCTACCATGGAAACAGAGTTTGCAGAGTGTATCCCCTGTGACCCCCTCAAGTCCTAGAATTGGGGCATGCTCAGGTCTACTCCCTGGAGTGGAGGAGGGAAACCCAAAGACCGCTCTTGGTTAGCTGGAAGTAGGGGACTGAAGCTGGGGTCTTGACAACAGAGCCTCTGGGCGACAGAGACACATTGGGGAACCCAGCATTGTCCCCAGAAATTGTAACTGGCTGTGACAGTGCTGTCACCTACACAAAAGGTCTGGGTGATGACTTGGGAGCTTCTTTTGGAAAGAAGGGGTCTTTGTGGTAGCACACGGTCGGGGGGACGCTGGCTTGTATCAGCCCCTGAAGGGGTGACGAGGGAACCGGGACTCCTGATCCCAGGGGCGTCTCCCAGGAAGAAGACACCAAACTGCATCACGCGCTGTCACATTTGGGATGAGGGTCAAATCTTGTCCTGGTCTCTGAGAAGAGCACAAATGCCAAGCTGAGCTTTCCCTATTTCTAAAAAATTGCAGGCTAAACCTCAGTTGAACGGGCTTAGTGTGTTCACTGATCAGAGGTCAGAAGTATACTGGAGCATCTAGAAATAACAAAATAGCCATGCCACGTGTTAATTACATGTTCATGTAAACACCAGGATAAAACCTAGGAAAACTCATGCCATGTGGCTCCGAGGAAGGCTCTCTCGCTCCAGGCCACGAGTGCTGTAGCAGGCTGGCCCCGGGCACGCTCAGACTCAGGCCCGGGCCTGGGAGCTCTACTCCTTTCCACACTCGGCCGGCTGTCCGTAGCTCTGCAGCAAACTGTCCCTCCTCCCGGCTTAGGGCCAGGCCACTGTGACAAAGCTCCCAGCGGATAACCGAGGTCAGGTTATGGAGAGCTGGCTGGTAAAAGCCCTCAGGCAAGAGGCCATTCCAGTCTCTCCACTAGCCAGTGATGGCCATCACACCTGCCAGGGCCGCTCAGCCCTAAGGGGGCCATGCCTGGGGAAAGGATGGAGGATGGGTCTCCAAAGGGGGGGGGCCTGTGATCTGTGTCCTGTGAGCTTGTCCACTTTGGGGTCTGTATACGTTTCCTCCGCGCCAGAGGAGGGGAGGGGAGTTCCCAGTGGGGGAAGATCATCTGTTCTGCAGAGATGGTGTGTTTTGTGCCTGAGTGGTGTGTTTGTGGGGGGCATGTGTATGTGTGGGTGTGGGGGTGCCATGTGGGGGGCATTGCTGGCTGGTGCCGGGCCAAACCCGGTGAGGACGCCATGAACCCGCTGCCTGGTGCAGGACGCGGGCTGGTGACTGGGTGGGCACATTTCTCCTGGCTCCTGAGCCTGACGAGCACACAGCACGAAGTGGGGGACAGTGACTCCTCCCACCTCGGGCTTGCGAGTAAAAAGAGAGTGAAGGAAACAGGGGATGAGAAAGACAGGCAGACAGAGCAGAGACAGAACACAGCGCTCACATTCCATTACCTTAAGGATAATTTCTAATGTAAAGATACTAGTGAAGACATAGTCTGCATTGCCTAGGATCTGAAAAATAAGCACAATCGGATTAGTGGCCTGAGAGTGGACCCGACACCAGAGGAGCAGGTGTGTTAGCGACAGACAGCGGAGAGGGAGCCGGCCAGAGGCGGAGCGAGGGCAGGGCTTTACCTTCAGAGCAATTTCAATGGTGAAAATGGTAGTAAAAACAATATCAAAATAAAACAGAATCTGCAAAACAAAACAGAAACAGGGTGGGAATGGGTGGGGGAGGGAGGAAAGCAGGATGGGTCCACAGAAACGGGTCACGTCCGACCACCAAGCACACATGCAGCTTGTCCACGGGGGGCGGAGGGCCACGTGGCGACGCTGCAGCAGGGACTCTGGAGCGGGGCCTGCCGTGGCAGCTCAGAGGCCTTGGGGGACTCCCCAGCCACCTGAGGGGGGTCTCCGGGGCCGGCCTCAGCTGCTCCTGGCTCTGGGCAGCTAAGGTTCAATGCTTTTCTCATGAGTCCAATTTACACTCGAGCAAGGGAGACCCTGGAGGCTGGTGCAAGGGAGTGTGGCAAGCTGAAAGCACCCGAGTCATCAGCTGGCACGGAGCGCCCGGGGTGGGGCGGGCCGTATCGCTTTCTGCTTTATTCTACCTCGGGTGAAGGGGCAGAGCCAGGGCCGACACCTTTCACAGCAAGGACGTTCTGGACCGAGCTGGCTCCAGGCCCGGGGAGAGTTTGGCACAGTGACGGCATGAGATTGGCGGGTTCCTCCTTCCCACCTCGCTGGGGTCTGGCAGCTGTGGGCCTGGCGTCCAGCGGTTCTGATTCTAGCCCCGAACGCTGTTCGCTAGCGCCTTGCCTGGGTGCCTGAGCTTGGTGTTGGACTCCTAAGGTCGGCCGGGCTCTTTAGGCATAGGCAAGGCCGGCCTCCTCACTGGCACCTGCTTGCCTGTGCTGCCCGCCTCTCCCTGGACACTAGGGCAGCTCAGTGTATGCCGGGAGCGAGGCAGACGTCACTGGTTACTCATTACGGGAACACCCACGGGGCCGTGCTGTCCTGGCGGTGGCCAGTGAGGCCCGCCTGGGTCCATTCCCACTCCCTATGGTCCTCTGGTGGCTTCTGCAAAGCTCGACGTTGGTCAAGTGTTTACTGCACAGCTGATGATGGATTGGGCTGGGCTCCCGTGGGGACAGTGAGGGCAGAGACAAGCCGTGGGTGCAGCCCCGGGCCCAGGAGGGGGCGCGAGAAGAGGATGCGTACGTGGTTTCGGAAGGAGGTGTGCTGGACGGGGTCCTCGGCGGCCAGGGAGATGCTGCTGAGCAGAATGAAGAAGAGGATCAGGTTGGTGAAGATGGTGTCGTTGACGATGCGGTGGCACTGGAGGCGAAACCTGCATGGGAGGAGGGAGAGGGCAGAGGTCACAGGCCGAGGGGGCGGCCCCCGGCCTCGGGGGGTCGGCTGCTGGCAGGCTGCGAGAGGCTTCTCGGGTGGGGAGAGGCGCCTGCAGCCTCTGTCCCTGCCGCTGGGTGGTGACAGCCGCAGGCCCTCGGCGCACACCGTCCGGAGCACTCTCACATGTTGGGGTTACACCTGAGGCCTGAGGAATCTCTGAGTTTTCAACATGCTGTGACACTAATAACTGGCCTTTGCTTGGGGGCTGATTTTGCTCATGG